AATGATTCTCGGAAAAACGCAAAACATTTCGCGAATTTTTTTTCCTAGTGAAAGAGACCTTCCTGAATCGATTGAGACTTCTTACAGTTCGCTAGGACCTATAGCTCGAGATATTATCGATCAAAATGCTTTAAACACAGCAATTCATTTATCTAAATTCATTGATACACCAATAAATTATTGAGAAAAAAATTCGGATTTTCGATTACATATTTCCGTTCTGAAACCTCTTAAGAACTAAATTCCTGGTTGGAAATTCTGAAAAAAATTCAGAAGATTGATTCGACTTCGTAGGAAAAGATATTTGATGAAGAATCCGAAATTCACGAAATAACTTGATAGTGTTCTAATTTGAATTATAGAAAGTGAAGTATAAAAATTCAATATGAGTTTCGGTTTGAAATTATGAAAAAATTCAGGAAGACTAGTTTTCACCCGTAGAGGAAGAATATTCAGAAGAAAATCTGAAGATTATCGAATTTACAATGGTGATCTAATTAATTGCTTGTCCGAAAAATTTGGCAACAAATGGAAAACTTTTTTATTATTGATTTTGGGAAAAAATTATTCCTCATGAAAAGTTCTGAGAAAAGAAAAGAAAATGCGAATATTAGATATCATATTTTTTTAATCGTATACGAGGTATGACAAAACATTAATTTAACTCGAGAATAAAGTACCTTTATTTTCGACAATATCGAAAATCATTATTTAGAAAAGTTCACCTAAATTAGAAACTACGTCCTAATATCTGTTAACATCTATCTACTATGAAAATCAGGTTTCATCATTTTGAGCAGAATTCATATTTTTTATATACCACGTACACAACTTGAAAACATTTGATATTTGCATACTCGGTTCTAGTCCTTGCAGAACTTTTTATGAAGAAATACTCTTTTACCTCAAGTTGATAAAGAGAAAGTTTCCCATATAAATCGATCTTGAAATGATTGTGAATAACAATAAAACCTCATTTGAAATAAAATATTTCAATTCCTGGTTTAAAATTCTGAAAAAATTTTCGAATACCAATTCGAATTCTTAGAGAACGAATATGTTATGAAAAATCCGAAAGTTCTCGAAACAACTGTAGTGTTTCAATTTGAATTATAGAAAGTGAAGTGTGAAAATGTAATATTTCGATTTTTGATTTAAAATTCAGAAAAAAATCAGGAAGACTAGTTTCGGCTCGTAGAGAAAGAATGATCAATAAAAAATCTGAAGATTCTCGAAATTACAATAGTGTTCTGATAAATTGATTGTCTGAAAAATTGTTGCAACACATGGAAAACTTTTTTATCGTTGATTTAAGGAAAAAAGTTATTCTTTATAAAAAGTTTTGCAAGGCTGATTTTCGAACATGCGAATATTATATATCATATTTTTTCAGTCGTAGATGAAGTATGTCAAAACATATTGATTTTGCTCAAGAGTAAAGTACCTTTATCTTCGACAATATCGGAAATTTTCAAAGAAAAAAGTTGACAAAAATTAGAAAATACTTTCAAATATCTGATAAAACATCTATCTACGATGAAAATCAGGTTTTATCATTTCAAGCAAGATTCATATTTTTCTATATACTCCGTATACGACTGAAAAATTTGATATCTGATATCTGCGTCCTCGGTTTTAGACCTTGCAGAACTTTTTATGTCGAATTACTTTTTTTCCTAAAGTTGATAATAAAAAAGTTCTCCATATAAATCGATCTTAAAATAATTGTGAAACATAATAAAAAACATCATTAATAATAACATTTTACATTTTTCAATTTCTGGTTCGAAATTCTGAGAAAAGTTTAGAAGATTATAATTCAAATTCGTAGAGGAAGGACATGTAATAAAAAATTGACATTTTTCGAAATAAGTTGGTAGTGTTCTAATTTGAATTATAGAAAGAGTTTTGTGTAAAAATGTAATATCCTGATTATTAATTTAAAATTCTGTAAAAATTTGGGAAGTTCGAACCCGTAGAGGAAGGATATTCAATAGAAAATCTGAAGTGTTCTGATAAATTGCTTGTCTGAAAAAGTAGATACGCACGATGTTCTTCGAACATCATATAGATTCCCTTTCGTGCGTTACAAGAGATAAAAAAAATGGAAAACTTTTTTATTATTGATAGCAACACGATTTTTTTGCTTTTCATTATTTATTAGACATCTCTTTGACTGTCACTTGCGTGATGCGTATTATGACGAGAGAACAATTATGAAATTGAAGATTTTTGTTGTATTTGCTCGTGCAGCTAATAGCTGCGGGAAATATATCAGTTTAGTCAGAAATTGATATCATGATTATGTTAATTAGGAATATTAGGAAGGACACAGAGATTCGAATAGATCGCCTTTGCTAGAATCGTTATTATTGGTCTAAAAATGCGTCAATACCGAAAGTTATGGTTGTTTGAATTCTTCTTACTCAAACACGACGCTTCTAGAAGCGATTGTTTTTACCAATCACATTTCTTCCCGCCTCATCTACGGCGGATGCAGAATGATATGTTCTAATGCCCGCTGCGGCGTTGCCGGAATGATTCAGAAATACCTACCTATCATGTAAAACTATTAATTTTTCTTGGTCAGTTCACATTGTTATTACCCACTTTGTGTGAATATACAGAGTATCCTAGCTTTAAGTAGACACTCTAAATGAATAAATAAACTCAAATCAAATGATGATGATAATAAAAAAACGAAATATCAGTCGCCATGACTACTGTATCAATACTTTTTCATAGCCATGAAGAATACGCTACATTATTATGCAAAAATGACAAAATTGCACAGAAAAACTAATACAAAATTTTCGTTAAATAATGAAAATACTATTACCTATAACTGAATTATTGAAGGTTTTCATTTAGTCTTTAGACTCAGTCTTGACATATGAGTTTTAGTTTAGTTATATTTTTATGATAAAATTAACTTTTTATCAATATTCATTGATTCGTTTTCAATATTTTATGGGTTTGTTGATGGATTTACTCATTCTCAAACATTGAATTTGATATCAGAATTCATTTTAGAAACGTAGAAATCTTCAGATATATGAGTTTTGAAGCATATCAATTTTAGGTAAACGTATCTTTATTATTTAACGAAAAATTTGTATCTTTCGTTTTTTGTGCATTTTCCTTTTTGCATAATAATGTAGCGTTGTAGACATGACGACTGATGTTCTGTTTCCTAATTATCATGGCCTACCACATTTGAGAATGTTTTTACTGTTCTTTGGCACTGTTCCATGTGGAAATGTCAATAATTTAAACATGGCTGTGGAGGGAATTTGAGCTCTATTCAATTGATATAAAAAACAAATATGGCGCTCGTAAAAAAATCAAAAGTTGCATGATAAATCTCTGAAAATAATAAAGATACAATATTTCTGACAATCCCAACTTCTTTATTGTCATGATTGAATACTTGATGATTACTCAAAATTTAAAATTCCTTCCTCTGATATTAATCAAGAAAATAAATAAAAACGAAATCAGTGATTTTCAGTTCAGAAATATTCCAGGATGACTGACGTTTTTCCACATTACAAAACGTCATATAGAAGAGGTTCAAATCACGCAACTCTTGTCTAATACAATCAACTTTCTATCTCTTACTGTTTAGGAAATAAATACTGTCCCTGTCAAATCGGTGGGACCCTGCGTACATTTAACAAAATCGATAGAACTTATTCTCATCAGTAGGTACACCACTGACCAGATTTCAGTACATTTCTCCATTTTAGGTATGTTTATATACATACCGTAAAAGGAATAATATTTCAAATATTATTAAATAATATGATCAACAAACAACCACTCTGAATCACAAAAATCTCTGGAGAAATTCTCATCAAATTCTGAATATTATTGATTATGATTGATTTCTTGATTTATATTGAAGAGAAGTCGATTATCATTGACAGTCAACACTTGATCACCCTGTATATATACGTCTTCAGAAAGGTCGAGTATGTATCCGCCTATGATTTTTTTCGACTTAAACTAACATCGAACAACGATAAAATAATTCATATAATAATGTCGATCTACATATATACATATACCTACCTACTGATAGGTATCACAAAAAAATTAAATAGAATAAACCAAAGAACCTAAATGAAGCCATATAGGTACCTGCTGGATCTGACAACACTGTAAACGAAGGGCAGCGTCGTGACGTGTCTTGTAATCTGTGCTCATGCGCTTTGGTGGCGTTCGTTAGTACTTCGTGGAAAGTGGGAAATAGGCTTTGAGCAGATTTTCAAAGATGCAAGAGATGTTAATTTTTTGTTTTTGCATAATCATAATCCCGGTTACGATTACAAATTCCATTAAGGTGAAATGTGGTAATGTGGTGCTTAGTTCTTCAAAGTCTGTTTCCCAGTTCTCAGGAATCATGAGTGCATGTGTGTATGTACAAAAGTACACCTACTATAACGGTAAGTAGATACCTGAGTACCTAGGTATATTATAGTCGTTTCCTTCTCGATTTTCTGTGATTTTTGTGACGTTTTCGTTCGGTAGCTAGCCTAGTACATTAGTTAGGTATTAACTTATGGAAAGAAATCAGCTACCTTCAATCCCGCCTAATCCCTTGTGAACAATCCAAGTACTTTTTCCAAAAATGTAGTTTGTATGTACCACTGTCCAGTTATCACCAATTCATTTCTAAAAACAGTATAGGTTCTAATTCTCAGTACAAACCATATACCACCTAGAAACCTAGAGGTTTCCGAGGTGGTTCCATAATATCTATTCACTGTAATTAGATAGGTACCTACCTCTATACACTATCCACAAATTATTTTTCAACCACAGCAATATGTAATGTACAGGTTGTTTCAAGTGCACACTGTAAACTTTATGGAATTTCATCTGATCTAGTACTCAGTCCAATTGGAATTATTCAGAACTCCAGGAACTTCAGGAGGTAGATTAATTATTATAAATTTTGAATTTCTTTTTAGGAGTGTAATCAAATCAGCTAGGAAATGGCCTATACATTAGTTCAGTTCATGTCAGGCATACAAATGGTTGTGAAGGGGCAATATATAATTGATAATCGATTCATAGATCTGCCAGGAGTAAAAGATTATATTGAAGTCAGAGTTGTAGGAAAACATAGTGACTACACTCTATTAAATAACATATGTATTCAAAATAATACTAGAAGCTTTGTTGTCTTACTGAATAAAGAAGTGTGGCCTAATGTGGCTCCTCTCAAGATAGTGATAATTTCAGATGTACAGCTCCTAGGGCCACTTGAAATAAATGAAAAGAGGATGTCATCTGTTCATGATGAAATCATCAGTACCCCAAGACAGTCTGATTTAACGAAAAGTCCCAAAAACCTAAGTGTTGCTTTCCAGGATCTAGAAACTGAACCAGAAAAAAAGACAGATGAAACCAATTGTATTGTGGACAATGGGAATACAATGCAATTTTCCCAAATAAATAGAACACCCATTAAACTAGACAATAATAAGTCTATTTGTAAGAGATTATTTCTAGATACCTCTGTCGAAAATAAAGAGCCCATTAGTAATGATTGGTAAGATTTATATTCTGTTCGAATCAAGTATCTTTAACTTTAACCAATTCTGGGAGATATTATTAGATTGTGATCATCAATAGGAAACTTATTAGGTATATAAAACACAACCATTTCGGCACAATCAAATAAAAATCATCTAGTACCTATTCAATAACTATTTATGAACTGTTTTTTAATACCAATTGAGTTTTATTTTTAGCTCAGGTGGTTAGCGAAAAAATGGTGTTGTTCCAGCTTATTTTCAAGCTAGCACAACCCTTCCATAACTATCCACCCGAATTAGTGGAGATGATTCAAAAGCTCAAATCTTCAACTTTTCAAAAACTTTTGGAATGGTGTATGGATTATTTAAATTGAAACAAATTTAAATGTTTTACAAGGGTCAAATATGCATTCAATACCTAAAATGCATGTAAATTGTTTCTTGTAATTCTGAATTTCATCCTTTTAGCAACATATAAAAAATGTTTAATAGTAGGATGTGAATTCAGATTATATATTTCTTGAAAATGGTACAGTTGGAATAGAAATATAGGAAATATTCGAAGAGACATTTTTTGGACAGAAAATGGCAATATGATGAATCCTGAGTGTTTTCATGGATTTAATATTTAATAACTCCAGCACAATTAGATGAAATTGATAGAATGTAAATTCAGATGATATATTTCTCAAAAATAGCACATGTGATGGGAAATATTCGAAAGAGATATTATTATAATGGCAATATGATGACTCACAGAGTGTGTTCATGAATCTACTATTTGATACCTCCAGCACAATCAGTTGAAGTTGAATATGACCATTTTCTGTCCTTACAATAAATTTTCTCTCCAATATTTTCCATCACAACTGTACTATTTTAGAAAAATATCACATTATTCGATTTCAACTAATTTTGCTGGAGTTATTGAATAGTAGATCCATGTGAACACTATGCAGTCATCATATTGTCATTCTTTCCTCATAATAACTTTTCTATCACAACTGTACTATTTTTGAAAAATATATCACCTGGATTCAGATTTTTCCGATTTCAAATGATTGTGCTGGAGTTATCAAATAGTAGATCCATGAAAACAATTGCTAAAAGGATATGATTGAGAATTACAAAAGAAAATTTACATGCATTTTAGGTATTGAATGCATATTTAACACTTGTAAAACATTGAAACTTTTTAAAATTTAAATAAACCATACACCATTCGAAAGTTTTCAAAAAGTTGAAGATTGGAGCTTTTGAATCATCTCCATAACTTATTTGGGTGGAAAGTTGTTGAACCATTGTGCTAGCTTGAGGTTAAGCTGGCATTACACAATTTTTTCGCTATCCACTTGAGTTAAAAAATCGGATTGGTGTTGAAAAATAGTTGATAAATAGTTATCAAATACTAGATGATTTTCATTTGATTGTGCCAAAACGACTGTGTCAGTTTTATATATGTAAACTTATTACACTCATTTTATAATTGAATATTTCTGAATGTTTTTATTGGAAGAACTGGATAATTGAGTTTTCATTTGAAGAATGAGTTTTTTTTAGGTCTGTAGCTGAAATGCATGAACTACATGAGAATACTATGTCTTTAAGTATGTCAAATGATCATATTGATGTAAATAATGAAGCCATTTGGACCTCTAGCAACTTGTCTATTAGTCAGGTTTTGGATCAGGTTATTGATGGTATTCATGAAAATGATGAGTCCAATTGGTAAGCCCTATCTTCTATTTGATTCAAGTATAAACATATAGTAGTTAGAATATTCTTTTTTAAATTATTGAATAACAAATTTTCGTCAAATGTTTCTAATTGTTTTAATTTGAAGTAGAAAGTATACTATAGAATAATGAGTCGCCATTTAAACAATGAGGATTTTTGAATCTTGAACTAAATTGCATGAATTTGATGAGAAGATATTTTATTTTAGCCTCATCCCTGTGTCTCATGGTAAAATTGATACTTGTATTGATTGTATTGATATTAATAATATACACCTCTAGCAATTTCATTTTGTAGCCTATTTATTGTATATTCAAAATTCAATTTCAGAAAAGTGATTTGAATTTTTTTGATTATGGGTACCCATAAATATCAACTATGGAATATGATATTAGGTATGAAACTAACAGAGCTCATTTCATGAATTAATTGTTCAACTTTACAAAGGATAAGATTTCTACAAAATTCTCATGAACTTTTACAATTTACTATTGTTTTCCATCAAGTAACAGCTGAGTCAAATGAAAAAAGTAATTTATGAATATTTTTGATTACTTTAATTGAAACTAGGTAACTGTGTTCCCATTCGAGGTGTAGCCTGGCTCCTGAAGGAAGTCCGACTATACTCATTTAAAAAAATCCTTGAAGTTTAACATCCCAAGGGCTGGCCAGAAACTACAGTAATCATTGACAGTGCAGTCAGCCCCTCTTTACTTTTCGGAATAAGATTATCCCTAATATTGAACGTCTCAAGTCATTTCAGATGGACTGCACAGAGCAGTCTTCTTTCACAAACCGAACTATACCTATATGGATTTCTTTCCAGGTCTTTAACTGAATTACATGAATTGGATGAGAGCACAGGTTACCTTAGGCCCATCACTATGTCTAATGGTCAGATTGATACTGCTATTGTGAAAAATAATGAGGCTACTTGTACTTCTGGCAACTTGAATTGGTAAGATCATTTAATAAAGTTAACATAAAATGTGAATAGCTTTGATACAGTATGTGACAGGTATAGGGAAAATTCTTAAACATTGTTGAATAGAAATAATAAATAAACTTTCCATACTCATTTCCAAATAAGGAATAATATGTAGGATGTTGAATACAAGAAATAATCGTACTAAAGTTGCTAGCAAAGCCACTCACGAATTTCAACATGATAGGTATCTCATAATTTTAGGCTCAAGCCACACAATTTTATTATAGAATACGACCGACAAACTTCGTACACGGTTCCCTCACCTCATTTTGAGGTTAAAAATTTCTATCAACGTATATCCTAAAATGTATAATTCCTGAGATACAGGGTGTCAAAGTTACTAAAAAAATCAGGGTTTGTATCAATTTCTGCGGAACCCCTGTAGAAAAAAAAATGAAACATGGTATACTATTCCAGATCAATCAATGTAATTACTTGGGAGTTTTTATTTTTGAATTTCATTAACCAGTGGTGTAGTTACGATCGCATATCGCCATATTTTCCTTCATATTTTTTCTTAGATAAACGATCTTATATGGACGGATTTTCAAATTGGTATATATGACATCAGTTAAGCTTATCGATACCTAACCAAAAAGTAATGACATTCCACATGCGTAAATGTAGAGGTTCCTGAAATATTTGCAAAAAACTAAAGATATGCCTTGAGGTAATTTTGAGTAGAGACCCAATTTGCTGCGTAAAATAATCGCAAAACGCTGATCTTTAACGAAACATCAATAAATTTCTTAACCTCCTGAATATTTTTGGATGTTGAAAACATTGATAATATAGTACGGGTGTCAGAAAAATTTACTTTTTATTCCATATGTTATTTCAAGGTGAACAGTTCAAATTGGGTTATGTCTGAGAGTACAACCTGTTTGAGATACTAGTTGAATATGTGAAAAAATGTAGCATTACCATTTTTTTTTCTTGAATACATATCGATATTTCTCAAGACATTTCTACAGTTTTTCGCAAATATCTCAGGAACCTCTACATTTGGGCATGTGGAATGACATTACTTTTTGGTTGAGTATCAATAAGCCTAACTGATGTCATGAACCAATATGACATTTCATCTATATAGGAAAAAATATGGAAGAAAATGTGGCGACATATGACCGTAACTATGCCACTGGTTAACAAAATTCAAAACGAAAAACTCCAAGTGATTACCTTGATTATTCTGGAATAGTATACCAAGTTTGAATTCTTTCCCTACAGGGGTTCCGAAGAAATTAATATGAATCTCAATTTTTTTCGTATTTTTGACACCCTGTATCTCAGAGAGAATGCATTTTAGGACATACGTTGAAAGGAACTTTTCATTTCAAAATGCAGTAAGAAATCCGTATGCGAAGTTTGTCGGTCTTATTCTGACTCACCCTTATTGATTAGGATCGCACCTTGCTTTATTGTTAATACAATATTTTTGTATGAATACAATTATTTTGAAATATTTTTTTATCAGAGTATAATAGTCTATGCAAAGTTAGTCGGAGCGCCTCGAGCAAATAATGTCCACCACGTGCACGGATGTATGTTTCATGTCAAAACGTGACGTTTATCAAGTTGATGGGTCATTCAAAATTGCAATCACCCATCTCTAAAACTAAAGGAAAAAAGGGGTTGTAACATGATCCTGTTACACCCGGTTCAAGAACTCAACTTAAAAATAAGATGATAAGTGAAAACCGGAAATATTAGAGTAGACATTTATACCATTAGCATTTTTTCGATCTTGATTGAACACCTTGTATATCAAAATTGGCGAATTCATCATATCAAACGTCTGATATTCTTTATTTTTTTCTTCAGGCCACAAGGAAGATCCAGTACTTTGAATATGGATAATAAGGATAATGAAAATATAATTGCCATTAGCCCTAAAAGTAGGTGAGTAATGTTGGTAAACTTATATACAGGGTGAGCCAATAGTGTGTTAGAGCTCGATTTGTTCAAACGAATGTGAATGAGACAAGGTCCATAACTAGAAATTATTGCCGCATATACAGGGCCCACCGAAAAAAAAATTATACGCTTCGGGGAAATTTTTTTGAAATGGAATGACGTTTATATTAGCACATTGCTTGAAGCATTTCTGTGACCTCCATCCACCAGTTCAATATCATCGACTATATCTCGATCATATCAAAGTTATGAATGTTTTCGTGGAAATGATGTCATCGCAGATGCATACTGAAAAAAATCACTGTCGTCGCAATCATGAGATTTAAGAAAAAATAATCATATCATTTAATGGACATATGCGTGATATTTCTGATGGATTTTCATGCCCTCAAATTATACAGGTAAATTATTTTTCAATTCGAAACTTTTTGAAGTATTTTTTTTTTCGATTTTTTCAAGTGGAACACCTCATATATTTTTTTGCCATGTGATACAAAATTGAAACACGAACATCTTTTGTCTCGACATCCATATTGATATTCGTAACCATATTTGAATTACTGAACTTTGAAAATTATAGGCTGTTCATTTTAATTATTTATACACATTCATAACTGGTTATTCAAACTTCTCAAATAACTATCTGCCGCAATTATTAGTAAATCTTCCAGAAAGCAATAGAATGTGGTTTCAGCAGGATGGTGCTTCACATTATTTGAATGCAGTAAGGCAACACTTAAAATCTACTCACTGCGGTGGATTGGGCGAAGCAGACTCACTAAAGGGCCTGCTAGATCCTCTAATTTTATAAGCATAGAGGAGACTCTTTTCGACGGCGCATAGAGATATGTGTCAATCTCGATGGGCAACATGGGGAGCACCTATCATAAGTTATTTGGTTTGTTATACGCACTTCCATCTCAAAATTTCACTTGTGAATTATTATCCTTGTTTTTTTTTCAATGTGTTATGAATTTATTGGATATTTGAGGAATGGAAATTTCCTGCATCTTGTTTTCGATTTTGGTATCAATTCATTCGATCCAAATCTGAGGTTATTGAATTACTAAATGAACTCTTGGTTTTTTCCTAACAGATGAAAACGTTTATTAAATAAATTGGCTAGCCTATAATTTTTGTTGCGGAACCAGTAATATTTCTTGAATTTGTGAAACGATTCAAATTATTCGCGCGCAAAGTATAGCACCAAGAGATCATACATAGCTGTCAGGTTGTCACATGACCTACGCAAGCTCAATAGGTGCTTCAGCGCATTTTTCGTCAAGGATCTTATCTAGAACGCGGCGTGGTCATATTCTGATCATTTTTCCTTAAATACCATAAAACTATAGGAACATTTTTACCTTTGTTCCCAACATTCAGTCTTCCGCAGTTAATCGTTAAATTTGAGTATTGTATTGTGTACCTGGTCAAGACAAATTCACTGCAAAGTGGAACTCACGTGGAAACCGGCATCTCCAAAGCCCCAACTTGGGACTACCTATAAGCTTCAGCAAAAGGGCCCTTTGCACCACTAGCTGCTCCCAGCCGACCAATAGCTCAGTATCGACCAGTCTGTAAGTCACTTAGTGCTATACACCTCAATTTTTTTATGATATAGTTTCAATTCATTACCTTCCCGCCCAAAGATTCAACAATCTTTCAATTTGCTAAGAATTCTATTTCATCGCTATTTTTTTTTCGCTCCGCAACAATTTTCCAAGTTCAATAATTCAGAAATAATTACGAATATCAACATGAATGTCAAGACGAAAGATATTCGTGTTTTAATTTTATATCACATGGAAAAAAATATATGGGGGTGTTCTATTTGAAAAACTCGAGAAAATTTGCTTCAAAATGTTCCGAATTGAAAAATCATTTATAGCCACCCTGTATAATTTGAGGGTATGAAAATTCCACAGAAAAATCACACAAAATCACATATTTTGATTATTTCCTCATGAATTTTATAATTGCAACGACAGTGCTTTTTTCGGTATGCATTTGCAGATGACATTATTTCGACAAAAAAACTAATGCTTTTGATATGATCGAGATATAGTCAATGATATTGAAGGGGTAGGTAGATAGATAGATTCAGGAAAAAATGCACCCGACTCTAGATTTATTCTGTTCGCCCTGTATATGCAGCAATAATTTCTAATTATTGACCTTGTTGTCTCATTCACATTTGTTTTTGAATCATGTTTCACCCGGTATCAAAAGGGATGGTTCATCAATATAAGTTTTTGTTTTCAAAGACAAAAATGGAATCTGGAAAATTGGTATCATGTATGACTTTAAATTGCATTTTCATCAACCGGAAACGATACCAACTTTCAATTGTATGCTCCTAAATTGGAGTGATAAATAAAATTGTGTGTTGATATGAGACATAAGAAAAACTTGTTTTTGAGCAATAAAAAGTTTTCAGAAAATTCACGATCTCATAACAACTTAATTTATTGCTCCAATTTTGGAAACATGTGCCTCTTTGAAGGAATATTGAAAATATCATTTATTTGAATTATGAATATAATACACGAAATTATCAGTTATATCAATAGGTACCATCGTTATGCCACTTTCCACATTAACATAGCTGAGATTCAATATTGGAACATATATGATCTACACATTTCAGAACACCAGTTTTACCATCACGAAGACGAAAGAAAAATGTTTGCAAATATTGCAAAAAAAAAATTGTCAAAATACCCCAACATCTCCAACAAAAACATTCACAGGAATCTGACGTACAAGAATATTTGACTCTTCCCAAGAGTAAGTTTCCCATACATAGTACCAAAATCATACAACATGTATTTAGAATATAATTCTTCATATTCTTTAAAACCTTGTACATAATGGATACATACTGATCAGTTCGTAAATTATATTGCGTCGAATTTTTTATAGAACAATCCTGAGGGGAATTTCAGATGGGAATTTTGGTATACAAATAATGGAAATTTATTGGGAATTGCGGGAATTTATTAGGGATTGTGGGAATTCAAGGAGAATTGTGTGAGTGAGAGAAATTGTGAGAATTCAATCTGGAAGTTGATGCGAATTAGTGTACAAAATCCACATAAGTGAAATGCTCCTCGAAAACTCCATATTTGGCTAGTAAACAATTGAGTTTCAGAAAAAAGGAGAGTGTGGTAACAATGGCTAGTATATTTTTCCATCCATATCAGTCAGAAATTTTACTATTGAGTAGGTATATTTCTACACATATCTCAATTACTATTTACGTGAATTTCAAAAATTAAAAACGTTTAAAAAGAAAATTAGTAGAGCTTTTAGTCAGGGAGATGAGCGTAACTGAACCAATCATAGATATATCTCCCCCTCCAAATTGAAATCAAAGAGTCTATCCCAATATCGGCTGTTGCATAAAAGCTGGAGAATTTTATAAGTGATTACTATAATAGTTGCGGTTTGGATAATCACAATTTTCAGTTGTTTTTCTTGTGATATTAACATTTGTGTCTTACTTACAGATCATCCTCGCAGGCAAGAAATTATTAATTGTATCAGAAGAGAAGGCAACTTCCAGCATTTTATGGATAATAAAACAGAGGTTGTGCCTGCTAGAATGCTCCATAAAAAAATTATGGATCCCAAAAATTATTTACCTTGTGTAAACTGCAAAATATTAGTGACAAAAGGAGCTTTGAGTAGACATTATAAGAAGTGTACTAATATCAGCAAATTGCTAGAAAATAATGTCACTTCCAGAGCTAAAGCACTAGCATTAAGTCTGCCATATGTTTGCGGGGTAGTAATGAAAAATTTCATATTACCCAAATTATGTGAGGGGTACATAAAAGAGACAATATGCTATGATCGAATGATTTTGATTTATGGTGATGCACTCTGTGAGAAATATCGATCTCAGCATCATTATGCGATGATAAGAAATAAATTGAGGCTAACAGCAAAGATTTTATTAACAATGAAAGAAAATGATCCTGACATCGATGACGTAGAAAGTATATTAGACCCTAGATACTTTGACAAGTTGATAGCATGTATAAACAAGCTAGGTCAATATGATGAGAATAAGGCAACATATTTGAAACCTACCATTCCAACCACTATTGGAACAATCATGAAAGTTATGATAGATCTGTATATAACTGAATGCATCAAAAATAGATGGCAAGAGAAGAAAGAACGAGGAAAAGAACTACTACATTTACTAACAACATGCCTTCCATCAAGAGTCAATAAAACAGCCACTGAGAGTTTGCTGGATATAAAACGACATAAACCAGTGGTACTACCCACCACAGACGATATTAAGTTGTTCAATAACTACGTATTGAAACATCGTGACATTTATTTTGAGCAACTCCTGACTAAACCCTTTTTTGCAGAAAATTGGAATCAATTGTCGAAATTTACTCTCATATCGATTTTGATTTTCAATCGTAGAAGACCAGGTGAATTAGAACGTATTCATCTGGCTGATTTAAAAAGCATTCGAGCAATCGATCCAAGTAATAATGAAACATTCCAACAACTTTCTCCAGAGGGCAAACGAGCACTGAATCAATACGTACGTTTTGTAATACGAGGAAAACTGGCCAGGGGTGTTCCTGTTTTATTGCATAGTAAAATGTATGAATGTATTGAACTATTGATAAAACATACAGATGCTGCAAAGATTCATCCAAAGAATCCATACCTTTTTGCATTACCCCAAGTTGATCAATTGGAAGTGAACATTGTGTACAGGCATTTACAAGCTACAGATTTGATTAGATTATATTCCACAAAATGTGAAGCTTCTAATCCTAAATCTTTAAGAGCAACATTATTAAGAAAGCATGTAGCCACAAAATCTGTGAGCCTTAATTTACCTGAAAATGAAATATCTTGTTTGCAGAATTTCTTAGGTCATGCAGACAAAATCCACAGAGAATATTACCGGTTACCGGTAGTAATGGATGATATAATTACCATGAGCAAAGTATTCAATTTTGCTCTTGGTGAAACTGAGACACAATCTTCAACGAAAAGGTATATCACTAACGAGTCTACAAAAAAGTTGCCTGAAGAAGGCGGTTTTAGTGTAGAAAATAACGGTGACAATGATGAAGAATCTATTTGTTCAGCTGCAAAGAAAAACCGAGCTAACAGACCTAAAAGGTCATCAAAGCAATTGCACGAATTTGAAGATCTATATAATAATGATAGTAATGAAGTAGATGGCATTTCAGCTCACAAAGAAGATGACATGACAAATAGATTAATAACACTGGACGAATTGAAGAGTATTGATCATGCAGACAGTTCCGATTATTTACCATCGGGCTGTGATAGTAGCGAGGAATCTAGTGACGATGAAAAAAAAATGGGTGAGTTGCTGTTCATGATTACTTATACCGAATTCCATTGGGCATGAACTGGTGGAGTTTTAATGCACTCGATGTATATCTGTCCTCCTTTTTGACATGTGGCAAATATATACTCTGAGTGTGCACCAGTTTTACCAATGGAATTCGCTATTTAAATGTGGCCGTTTCTTCATAATGCGATTTGTATTTCATTACATCCATAATGGATTCATTAAATAAACATGTTGCGCAGCTGTAATATAACAATTGGAATAATTATTATAAATAAAATATGAGTGAAACAGATACAAAATCGACTAGTATGAAGGACAAGATATTCTCGATTATTAATTATTACACGTTATATCTAATAGGAGAATACCGGGTGGAAACATAAACCGATTCACCCCTAAAATGTCATTTAAGATGACATTTTCGTAATACTCATGAATCATTTCGACGTAGCAGCCAATATTAATAGTGGCGGCGGATTTTGTTTTTTCAGAAAATGTGAAATTTCACTAGTTCAGAATATTGGTGAGAACTTAAATATTCCCACAGTTATGAAACAATATTCACAGTCAATATTCAGTATTTCTTGGGAATAGTCATTACCTACCTAAACTTTCAATTAAACATTTCTAAAACACCATTTAGAAACATTCAGCTTAGTAGAAATTTGGCTCAGGCATTACATAATGGTTTTGAATTAATATGATATGATTGAACAAATCGGTAGTTATGACATGATCATTTATCAAAAAATTCAAAAGCATTTTTCGAAAATCTTGAGTCAAGTTCATATTCTACACATGCACTACTAATTAGCTCAAAAATATGTTCTCAGATGATCAATTTGCTGGCAGTCTGAGCGGTAACTACCATCCTTCTTTGTATTAAAAAATTAAGTCATCTAGAAGTATTCAGTTGCATCGATATTTTTTATGGGCGTCACTGAATGATTACAGAATAACATAATCTGAGTGACAGCTGTTCTAGAGAGTTGGGAAGTTCATTCATACAATAAACTAAACCATTATGAAGGAAAAATAAATACACAACTGAAAGTCATTTCCACAAATGTTCATAAAATGAACAACAATGGTGGAAGACGGGAAAAAACAACTACTTTCCAGGCTAATGCCTCGCAGAACATTGAATTGCATCCTCCTGAAATAAATGCATCGATTCGGGACAAAAGCATTTAGGAAGGAAACATTTGCATCAGTACTCGTTTATACGAAACGCAGAACATTGAATTGCATCCTCCTGAAATAAATGCATCGATTCGGGACAAAAGCATTTATGAAGGAAACATTTGCATCAGTACTCGTTTATACGAATCATGCATAGATTTCGGGAGGATGTAATTCAATATTCTGCGTAGCATTAGCCAGGAAAGTGGTTGTTTTTCTCCCATCAGCTACCATTATAAAATTTATAAAAAAATGGAGAAAGTCTATTGAAAAAGTTTCGAAATATTACCGCCACTCGACAGTATTTACCACAGGTGTTTGTTATGAGTGCAGATGAGCGTAATATGCAACAATTTTCCTGTTAGGGCAAATAAGTTGAAACTCTCTCAATTGGCTTCACATTAACTTATATCTTCTGAATAATTTCTATAATATTGTATCTGAACTGTAGCAACATTTTCTAAAAAAAAATCCGATGTCACCGATAAGGTTACCAGATAAAAATCTATCAACGAAGTGGTCTGAGACTTGATCAGTTGAAGACAAAATTAAGAAATACATTTTTCAATACTTGCAGCTCCTATGCGACATTATGTTCCGAGAAGGACTTGGAGTACTCCTGAGAAACATGCCGTTAGTATGGTTTTCGAAAATCATATAAAGAATCGTCGTGTACCAACGATGAAAGAGTGCATTTCTGCGATTTCAGAAAACCCGTGTTTGTCTACCAGATCTGCGCCTCAGATGATAAGTTGGGTGCAACACCGTATTCGTTCCTCAGGTAGTACTGAGTTTTTGAGATATAAAAAATCATTATCCAAAAGTGGTCATGGAATTTTATTTTGATGTATGTGAATTTATGTAGATGTCCAGTAAGTATGGCATGTAACTCAACACACATATAGAGCTGATTCTTCTTATGACCACTTTCACTAATTATTTTTTATATCGATAATGTTGTAATTGAGATAGCGATTAAAAATTAGATTGATTTGAGTAAAAACTAGAAAAGTTGATCAATTAAGTTTTGAGATGATTTAGTTCATTCTGTTATTTGGAGACAAACATTGCTAATCTTAGTTTTTACTATTTTTTTTCATTAGAGAAAGTCCAAACTAAAAGCACATGGTCAACACCTGAACGGCATGCAATTAGATGCAATTTTCAGCCTTACATAGAAGGAACATCATTGCAAAGTTATCCTTCCAATGATCAGATTCGAAAACTAATTCGTGAAGATAGCCGTCTGCAGGCCACAACCCCTAGGAGGATTAAGGGTCAAATACAACATCAAAAAACTGTTTGGAAGAAAATGAATGGTTCATTATAAATTCGACTAGTACATTTTCAGGACGATTAGTCATGAAAGATGATTGAAGACTGAAATAAATATGTCAAGTGTATGACTCGAATTCAGACTGACTAAGTTACTGAGATACAGTGAAAGTTCACTATGTATCTTCATCATTTGACACATTGATTTGATGATATGAATGCGTAATGAATCAGTTCCAATATGATATTTACGGTATAACCAAGTTTCATAATTCATCATTAAATTATCGTTCATGCCTAAAATTTCGTTTCCAATGGAACTATTTTCTCAAACAACTGATATTAAAAGTATGCTATAATAGATTAAGCAATGGTATGTCACTAACAATGATAATTCAATGTAATTTTTAAAATTGTCCAACACTAACAAACTTATTCCCAAAACTAACATGATATTCTCTTGTGTTAGGTAAAAATTTCGAGAAGTATCAAGTATTAAGTTACATATCAAAAATAACTCATTGAAGTTCTACATCTTCATGACATTATTTCGTAATACTTCAAGAAATATTGAAATACATATAAAAAAATGGCTCATTGTTCACTGTTTTTTACTTGTGGGTAGTATACATGGCGTTTCTATAAGGTCTTTACAAAAAACTACTACATATTCCTCACATAAAAACAATTCCATACAAGCAAACTTACTTGGTACAAAAATGCTTAGTTTGGGCGCTAAACGTCTATGATTCGCTGAAGAAATTTAATAGTTTGTACAATTTCAAAAGACGAGTAAAACTCACATTAAATGGGATTGAAATGATTATTATCCATATTTTTATTGCTATTGTTATTATATACATAGATTATCATGTTGAATATTTAATTTCATGTTATATCCCTGTATAAACATAATGTTTCTTGGGATTTATGAAAGAAAAAAGAAAGATAATCGTTTTTGTTTCTTAACTTTGAAACGGCTTATGAGGTTTCTTTCAAGTTTGGTAGGTTGGCATACTTTATTGGGCAATAAAACCCATACCTTCTAGATGAATATCATTCCATGGGCGTAGAACTTGTTTTATTCAGTAGATAAACATCTAAAACATTTACGCCAATAGAATGGAAGGAGTTTGAATTTAAAATTTGGATTGTATAATTTATATACTACAAAAAAGGTACTCCTGATAATATTTGATTACTCGCATGGTTACGACAAAATTTGAATTTCAGTAAATCAGACATTAAAATGATGAACAGATATTTTATAAAAATTGTTCAATGGTGAATTTGCTTGTATAAATTTTTTTCGTCGTATAAATCTTTGCATACGTGAAAATGATGAACATTATTATTAAATTTCATGACATATCTGTTTTAAAAACGGATGCTTCAAATTACTAAAATCAAAGTTTTGTTGAAACCATGAGAGTAATCGAATTTTATCCAAAGTACCTTTTTGTAGTACACAAGTTACGCAATCCAAATTTTATATTCAAACTCCTTTCTTTCTATTGGCGTAGAAGTTTTAGATGTTTATTCACTGAAAAAATTGAGTTTTACGCCTATGGTATTCATCATAATCATGATATGCGTTTTATTGCCCAAATTTGAGTGAAATCTCATGAGCCGTTTCAAAGTTATGCAGCAAAACGTCTAGTGCCCGAACTAAGCAACTTTTTACTGAAGTAAATTTGCTCTAATCTAATTGTTTTGGTCTGAGATGTGGTAAGTTTTTGTAAAGACCTTTTAGGGACACCCTGTATACCTCCTATATTTTCATTCAACATTCCTATTGAGCAGGTCATCCATAAAAGAATAAGAAATGAGTGGCACTCATTTTCAGTTTTTGTTCTGATATGGTACCTATATTCTTAAAGAAACAAAAATACTATGGAAGGTACAAGTTTAGTGATGCTGAAAATGAGGATAGCTATAATAAAAAAAAAATGGTAGCCTGTTTTATGAATTTATGTGCAGAATTATATATTTTTGAATGGTACAGGTTGATTCACTTCAAATGTCGTCCCCTGTATCCTGGTTATTTGTGAACTGATTTGAGAATTCTGAAACAGATTTCGAAACAGTTTTCTGCAAAATGTATACACCTTTTCGAAATGATGTCCAGAATGAACGTAACTTTGATTAATAGTTCATTTTCTCGAATGGAACACCCTGAATTCGATTCAACAGTCGCTTAAATACCGAGTTTGATAAGGTTGTGTTAAAGTACTTTGGAGTTGTACGTGATCAATCATTGCATTTGCCTCGCATTATCACTCATTGGAGCAAATTGGTGTGTTCATCACATATCTTTGTAGCAGTTCGACATAACGAAATTATATCCGATATTGTTGAATTACTAATTGTATTCTCTAACAGATTTTTGAATGAAATACATGTTGGTCCATTTTGAATAAAATTATTCCCGATATTTTTGTCGCATTCTCAAATAGATACACAAATAATCATGTTACAACCGGGGCATTCATGATGAATCACCATGTACCTGATATAAGAACTGATACTTATTATAATACATTCAAAATGAAAAGGGTGGAGCTGCACTTGCAATGGAATTTGATGAATCCTACATTCATAACACCAAATCAATGTGATACAAATTGGAAATATCTAAAATAGAAGCTTAGATAATGAATGGTCTATTGATTCATTTGATAGGTAGCCTTGAATTTACTATATTTTATCAAATTCATTCAAGTTCAAAATGGCGCCAAGTGTTAAACGTGATATCGAACATGTATAAAGTATCTAGAATGCGATTCTATATCCTTCAATATCAGATACAGAAAAACTTAGAGAAGTATTTCAATATTCATTATTCATCCTTCTCCAAACATTCAAGGTACTTGATATTTCAAGGGCAGACATCAACTTCGTCAACTTGAATGAAAATTGCTTCTTTTATCTGGATATAATAATAATAATAATAATAAAGTTTATTTCGAAGTTCGCCAATTTAGTACATTACTTAAATATAAAATTTCCAACAAAATGCGAACTGCAAAAGGGAGATGACAGGCAGTCGTAACTGATATCTAGTGCCATCCCCGTTTAGGTTCGAGATAGCAGCATATTTTATTGTATAAAACCCAGAAACAGAATATCTTGAAAAAAGTTAACATCAAACCCAAGCATGACATGTAAATCATTGTAAAAATATATGTATAAATATTAATTTAATAATAAATTCTTATAGGCGAATCTGAAACCGGACAACGACAGACGCTTCCAATCATTACTTACATTATTGTACAGGCGAAAAATGTTGTAAGTGAATGATCGACGAAATATTGCAGTGCGATGAAAAGGAGGAGATAACATACCTCGATATCTCAGATTAAGATTGTGAACGTCGCTTCTATATGTAATTTTGTTATATAGATATGGAGGCGATTTATTTATAATAATTTTATGAAATAAACATGCTGAATGTAATTCCCGTCGCTTAATCATGGACATCCAATTCGCTTCACTCAATTTGTAACTTACTGGTTCAAATTTTCTGATTCCAAAAGTGAATCTCAAACAAGATTTTTGTACTCTTTCGATACGATTTATGTCCGTGTTATCAAGACACGGACCATACACTATATCACAGAAATTAAAATGACTCAATACAAGAGAATCTGTGAGTTTAAGTTTTAATGATTGAGAAATAATGTGTCTATGAGGATATAACAATTTTAAATTAGTATATGCCCTTTTTATACATTTACTAACATGCGATTTGAACCGCATATCAGTGTCAAGTTCAAGCCCAAGATTTCTTGCAACATGAGTGCAAGGTAAATGATTTCCGTCAATTATAATATCAATAACATCCTCAACTTTATTTTTATTTTTGCCGAATATAAGAACATTGGATTTCAGGGAGTTGATAGAGAGGAAATGCTTTTTGGAAATTTGTACAAGTTTTTCAAGTTCTTGGTTGATAACCAAATTAGCTAAATACAGATCAGAGTAAAAAAAAGAATATTTTATTTGTGTATCGTCAGCATAAAGATAAGCTTCAGTACGTTCTAAAACATTGACTATATTACATGTATATAATGAGAATAGCAATGGTCCCAAAATAGAACCTTGTGGTACACCACACTTTATAGGTTTCAAATTCGAATGTTTATCATTAACCGCAACGAATTGTAATCTATCTGACAAATAACTTTTAATTATTACAATGGAACTCTCAGAGAATCCCACATAGTGTAAAATGGCAAATAAAATTTCATGGTTGATTGTATCAAACGCCTTGGAATAATCAATTAGAATGAGGGCTGAGTTTTTTCCATCATCTATATCTTTGAGAATGTCATCAGTTATATCGAGTAATGCTGTTGTGCAGCTGAACCCGCTGCGAAACCCAGATTGCCTCTTTGGTAATATATTAAAAGCATAAATATGTAAAGTAATTTGAAGTTTCATGATTTTCTCTAAGACTTTCGATAGGGTAGATAATATTGAGATTGGACGTAGTTCATTGAGATTTTCGACATTTTTCTTTTTGGGAAGTGGAATTACTTTGGAAATTTTCCACAAAGAAGGAAATA